CCAAATTTGGCCAGTGGAGACCGGCTACTGGTTCTTAGAAAATAGGCCACCAGAACTCTATCAAAAAACAACTTTAGACCATCAGACTAAGCACCCAGACCAAGTTGATACAATTACTTAAATATCCAGGTCATTGGGAAGCCAAAGGATGCTCTAGCGGCTTCGAACTAGTCAGCCAAAGTTACAGTAGTGAAGTGGCCAAAAATCGTTAATTCTAGGTGTAATTTTATTACCGATTAACGGTTTCTGGCTAACGAAAGAAACCGGCTGCTTCTACTGATAAAATGCACATCGTGCATGACTCCCGCCTGAGAAAAATTCGACGCGGTAGAAAGAAACGACCCGGAAAGCTGCATGCAGATGCCTCCCTCTCGTACTGGGTAGTACGAACTCTTAGCATCTGCGTGAACTATTCCGCGGTGGCGTTCCGCCACATCACATCGAAGCAATACAGCTTACCTTCAGGTACAGTACAGTAGTACCGGTACGTACCGTGCCGCTTCGCAGGAACGGACTCGTTGTTCCATCGCMCGAGCGTCTTCGGCCGTTATGTGCGAATCGTCATGAATATGGTTGAAAACAAATTTGGTTGCGAGTTTGGTACTTGTAGTGCCCCTGATTGGTTCCACACAAGATTAAACCAATTTCGTCCAAGMAATAAATATCAAACAGTCCCAATATCTATTGTCAAAGAGGCAAGAAATAATATCAAACAGTCCCGACGGTGACTGAATGGTAAATTGGTTCTTGTTCCTACAAYTCAAACAAACAAGTATCTTCAAGTCTGAAACTATAATAATATGAAGATATATTTTTAATCGTGAGGACGTTCTCCGACGGTCATGCCGAAAGGATTGTGTAAMCTTTGGACAATTTCCAAGTTCGCCAACGATATAACCGAAAGTGTCTATATATGGTCATATATCTCAGAAAACAAAAAATTGTCATATATATATCACTTAAAATGCTTCTCGCTTAAGTGACAGAGCCAGCAATTACCTCTGTGCATCATTTCATACGCTTCAACTTGCACATTATGATGTGTAGGGTGAAAAWCAAGAAACTTTTGATGCTGTCCGTAGCTTTCTTTCACCCATCTATTGCCTCGGAATCTTGGTATGTTCGATCAGGAAACAGCAGCAAGAAGCTTCGTTCACACAATACAATACAGTACAACAACAGAACAAACGAAGAAAAAGCAACACCGACCGATCCCGTCGCCAAGTTCGTTGCGTTTGGCGCATATTRGAACCAACAAATAGAAAGCAGCAACACGGCCGTGCCCATCGCCATAACCACGACGGACACSAACACTCAGACGTAMCATATTATCCGATACAAACCAAAACCGAGAAACGAGTCTTAGCAACACGATCGAATCAAGCCAAATCGGTATCTACCGAACCAYATAAAATCGATGTTCCAACCGAACTAAATTTCACGAATCGCACATCCACAATAAGGCCAAAACCTAACCCAACGATGACACCAAGGTCTCCGAATTCCATTCTCCTTGCCTGGCTCACGGCATCAACGGCATCGCTGCTTGCTTCCGCATCAAACAACCATCTCCGAAACCAGAGGCAAAAGCACTACGAGCAGCAACGCATAGTCGGTGGATCMCGGTCCACGGCCGGAGACTATCCCTACTTTGTCGAGATGGGGGGCTGTGGGGGAGCCCTCGTCGCGCCCGATGTCGTCCTAACCGCGGCCCACTGTGGCAACTTAACGGGCCGACAGCTGAGCATCGGTGCCTACCGRAAGGGGAGCCTCGCCGAAGGCGCTCAGCCTCGGTTCTGCGCCTCCTGGATCCGTGATCCTCTCTACGGAAGCCACGGGAGTCCTCTCAACTACGACTTTGCTCTCTGCAAACTGGACTATCCCGTTTCGATCAATACCACTTTTGTCACGCTCGAACTCAATGAAGAAAGAGCGATCCCGTCCATCGGAACCGACCTGATCGTCATGGGGCTCGGCACGCTGTCCATGGGAGGGTACAGCCCCCAGATCGTCCACAACGCCACGGTTCCCTACATCGATACCCCTGCTTGCAATGCCATGTTCAGCCAGGACGACGACGTGGTTACGGACGCCATGCTGTGCGCCGGATTCGAAGAGGGAAAAAAGGATACCTGCCAGGGCGATTCCGGTGGACCCATCGTGAAGCGAACCTACAACGGGGACGGGACCTTTTCGGATGCCCACGTCGGTGTCGTCTCTTGGGGAGAGGGCTGCGCCATGCCGAACCGGCCGGGGGTGTACGCCAGGACCAGCGAGCGGGCGAGCTGGATCAAGTCGACGATCTGTGGGACACTCAACAGCGTAGCCTCGTTTTGCGAAGAAAGGAGCGAACAAACCCCGAACGTCTGCACCACCGGGGAGGAGCTCACCATCGAGCTGACCACCGACATGTACGCCTTCGAAACGTGCTGGGCACTCTGGGAGCTGAGCGGAAGCCTTCTTGCATCATTTATCTATCTCATCAACAACTATACGAACGTGCACACGATGTGCCTGGAGCCGGCCACGTGCTACGTTTGGGAGGTCGTCGACGCGTACATGGACGGCTTCAATGGGACCTATTCCTTCCTCCTGAACGGAGAAACAATCGGCTCGGGCACCGGAACCGACTTTGACAAGTCCAAGACGGAAACKATCTGCACCACCGGGGGTAGCCTTGCACCGGCGGCATCCCCCACGATTTCTCACACMCCTTTTCCGGTGGGGATTGTCAGCCCAATACCTCCTCCCACCGTCGCTCCAACGTCTGACGATTCTCCAACGATCCTCCCTACCGTGATAGTCCCACCCGATCAATGGCTTACGAATGCCCCCGATTCCTTTCGGCTGGTCCCTACCAATGTCCCGACCATCATTGATGACTCCGACGACTACCTCTCCCCGACGATCCAACCGTCAGTCCCACCCGAGCAATGGCTTACCAATGCCCCCGATTCCTTTCGGCCGGTCCCTACCAATGNCGATCCAACCGTCAGTCCCACCCGAGCAATGGCTTACCAATGCCCCCGATTCCTTTCGGCCGGTCCCTACCAATGTCCCGACCCTCATCGATGACCTCTCTCCGACGATCTTCCCTGTCGTGACGGTCCAACCTGATCAAGGTCCTACGATTGCCCCYAATTCCATAGTTCTGGGCCCCACCAATGCCCCGACCTTCGTCGTCGACCTCGACGACTACCTCTCTCCGACGACCTTTGCCCCCACCGACACTATTCTGGAGACAACCTTCCCGTCGGAATCGCCGACGCGGTTGCGGACCAATGCGCCCACCAACCCGCCGTCCGACCCACCGACCAACACTCCGACCGACTTACCCTCCACAGTGCCCACAATAATGGCTATGGCACCCCCGGAAGACTGCGTGGATGACCCAACCTTTCGGTACCGGAATTCCAAGAAAAAAACCTGTTCCCGATGGGTCAAAAAGAAGGGYACCCGCACCAAGAAAATCCGAAAAAAATGCAAGAAGAAGTGGAAGAAGCGCAGGGTCTATGAGTACTGCGCCGAGACCTGCGGAAGGCTGGTCGGCCTCGGCCGTTGCGCCGCTCTGAGCAATGAGAACGACGGTAGCCAGGCCGAAATCTCTCGGGAGGTCCCTAGTAGGRCTAAAAAGAAGGACAATTCGGGAATCATTTTATGAGTGCATGCATCGGGTTGAATGCATTCATAAATCATTTACTAGCAGGACTTCTACTGCTTGCACTTGTGATGTAAGTGCTTGAGTTGGTAGTATTTTACGTAGTGAAGTAGTAGTAGTACCAGCATGATGATGATACTTCTTCTCGCTCATACTTCTTCTACTACCACTACTAGTTGAAGAACGCTATACTAGACAATTGGGGGAAAACATACAACAAGAAGYGTATAAACAATCTGTAATAGAGCWCAAGTAGGATCTACTACTTTTCGATGAAATTAGTACTAGTACTCGTTCTAAGAGATAAACGAACTGAATCAACGCAGAAATACATACAGTAAGGTTCGGTATAGTTTTTGTACGTACAGAGTTATGGTATGTATMGTATGATTTGAGCTACCTGCGTAGCATTATTTTGAGGAGAGGACTAAAATCTACCGAAACGATTCACACGTCAGTTGCCATTTTCGTACAATCATACCGTACCGGTACAAAAACACTCCCGCCACCCGCCATGCACGTTGATTATGCATTTTGGATCAGAAGAAAAAATTGGTACTTGTACTTGTACCGGTATGATGAAACGATCAGGAATACTCGCAATCCTCACAGTCACAACTCTAGCTACAGCTATCTGCCAAATTTACAGATGACGGYATTCGGTATTAACGGATTCAAAGTGGTGTCGCTCTTTACGATTCTTGCAGTGGCAGCTCTACTGTCTACTCTTTCCTCCATATCGGCTTTCTCATTAACGCCGGACGGACGAGGATTGCCTCCAATGAGATCATCCACCGGCACGAGACTGAAAGCCTCGTCTTCCACCGAACACAATGGCTCGGATACAAAGGCAGAAGAAGTCGTTCGGAAGTATTTTGACGGTGTCAACAAAAAGGATCCGGAACAACTGCGATCGTGTTTCGGGGAATCGGCTACAATTCGGGATGTCTGTGCATTAGATGCCACGGAGCGAACTGTCCAATCGGATGTCCTGGTGGATCGATGCATGGAATTTGTGACCGCCCACCCCGACTGCCTCGTCCGATTTCATTACGGACCCAATGAACACCGACAAAGGGAGGACGAGGACCAAGATGGCGTCTGGGTCGTTGCGCATTGGTACGAGATTGGGACATGGTTGGGAGAATCCTGTGGAATACCATCACCGGATCCTCCGCGGCCCATGACATGTGAAGGTCAAACTAGGTTCCGAGTTGCGGGGRCGGATAGTGATCCCAAGATCCAAGAATTCGTGGTCACGAGAACCTTCACCGAATGGGAAAACGCCATGATCGCCAAAAGAAATAAAGAGGCTCAGTTAAAGTGATCTCTGCTCTCGTCAGTAATTGAGGAATGAGCCCAAACCAATTTTGAAACGAAGGCAAGCATCATAGAGAGACAATGTCCCAGATTAAAAGCGATTGAAACACACTCCAAATAGCAAGTCTTGTTTAAATTCTWTTCTTTCTTGTGATTGGTCAGAAACGCATTTGAAMGCTTGTTGCAGGATTTTCTAGAAAAAGATCGACCACTGTCAACCATTTATCTAAATCGACATTCATCTCTCTTTTCATTTTCCATTCTTGACCACACCCTGGCAGTGGCTCAGATAGTAAAAAATTCGATCCAGACGAGTTACCCCAACCCCAACCCCAAGAGGTTTTCGTCTATTCGATACGAATATGCTAGTATTTAGACTAAAAAATAAAATGATAGACTTCTTTTGTCGAGTCCCCGAGGTGTTTCTGTTAGTTTTGAAAAGGATGATATTCTCCGTTGCTTTGGTCAAWTTTTTTGGGGAAAGAAATTTTGTGCTTCGAAAACCTGATTCCTAATTACTTTCGATTCAATCTCATGTCATCTCGGTAAAAAGAGTGAGGTTGAACTTATTGCTCACTCMCTGTTCATTCGTGATTGACTTGATTTGTGTGTTACTGGCTCACAGGCTCTATGGTTGAAAGGGTCTGCAGCAGAATGTACAAGTTTGAAAAGCTYTAGTGACAYCCATTGTTCTRTTCTGTTCTGTTCCGCAAAGATTAAAGGAATCAATTTGTTGCGGAGCAGAAGCCTAGATAAAAATGTCGATCGTTTGTACGAAAAAGTAATACTTGATGTCTCACCAATAAGAATTTGTTTCCATTACAACAGAAGAGTAATGTATCATACAGAGATGGTAGAAATCTTAGACGATATGYGTTATGTTACKGCATGGACWMCGATGTTATGAATATGTCAGCTGAGGAGGCACATTCCCACATTAAACAACCAATCGTGAAATGAATAGCGCGCGCGTCTGTACCTGACAATTTCTATTCACACATGAAGTGCGCATGCTTAGGTTTTCGACTCGGCATGCAAAAGAATTGAGTMCGTACTCACTTCACACATTCGAAAGCGTGCTGAATGAAAATTAATTTTCGTTTTTTTGATACCCCATGGCATCAATTAGAGAAGGTCTCGTCATTCAAAATCAAATCTTTTTTCCATYTTGACTCAAGATTCTCTGCTTGGCGTATTRGTCTTGAGGTAGAATTCACGGTATGCGGTCAACYAGATTTGATGACGAAAGGATGTCACAAAAATACAAACATTCTCAATCAACTGCAATATCGGCTTACTTACACGAGGCAACACAACATTGTAAAGAGTCATCGCATGCCGATTGAATAGATCAAGGTAAGATGCATAGAGGTCCACAATTGACTCAACTCGACGTGTTTAATAGTCGAATTTCACAGTTTTTACTGACATCATTTCACATTTCGTCATCTTTTAGAGGTCAGACACTATGAAGCTTCAGGAATTGTTGCTTCTCCTTCTCGCTCCGTTGTTTGGACCGATTTATACTCCAAAATTGACTGCAGCAACTGATGATGTCGATCAATCAATTTATTCTTTGAGAGGAAGTGCAATGAAAGGAACTGAGGGAGTTCTTTCCTCATCTCGTCTCATGGACAGCGAACGAAAACTACAGTTCATCTTTCCCAGGCCTACAGTTCCCGTCCCTACACCTGCTCCAACTGTCTCGGCTGTCGAAGTGCCGACAGAAGATGAGCCGAAWTTAACTATGTCTCCACTTTTCTTAGCTTGGCAAATTTCGCCAACGTTGGTCCCTGAAATCCCGCCAACAGATACCCCGACGGTGCCTCCCGTGCCCTTCCCGCCAACAGATACACCGACGGTGCCTCCCGTACCCTTCATTATGCCTCGTCCTGAACAACGTCCCATAGTTCCAACCAACCTCGAAAATTCTCAAAGCTCTCCTCCTCRCCCTACAGTTGATGACAGCAATGATGAAAATTCTCCCAGCACTCTTCCTCGCCCTACAATTGATGACCTTCTTCCTCCTTCCCCCACTCCTCCGCCAAATCCTCCTGTTGCCCCAACCCCTCCAATTCGAAAACAAACTGTCGATGTGAACGGCAATGCGTGTGGAATGCAAACTCCCGGTACTCTGATTCTGCACGGTGGCGTTTTCAATTACGAAGATCCTCTATCTGATTCCTTGGGACAGGCGATRGTAAGGGAGATGAAGACTARTCGTGAAAATCGTTTGGTGGATCCCCTGGTCTTTCTTCCAGGTGCCCGTAGGGAAGTAACCGACATTGACGAACAGACCTTCGAGGATCAATGGAGAAATATTATGGCCGATGGCGTCCCATTTTCGGTACTCCACCCAAGGGATCGAGATCMAGCGTTCACGGACGTTAGTGATGCTGAGCAAGCAGATCAAGAAGATTTCGTTCGACCACTCAAAGATGCAATGGGTGTCTTTTTACCAGGTGGGAGACAATGGCGTCTGATCGATGCCTACAAGTACACCGAAACAGAAGAGGAAATGTGGAATGTCTTGAAACGCGGTGGTGTTATCGCTGGAACTTCTGCAGGTGCGGCCGTCATGGCATCGTTGATGCCCCGTGGTGATCCCGAAGGATCCGCAGCGTTTCTGGCAGAAAGAGAGTGGCACCAACACGGATTTGGCTTTGTCAGCAACCTCGCAGTCGACAACCATGTATCTGCACGAGGAAGAGAATTCGCCATGTACGAAGCCATGAATTCTCAGAAAGAAAATCGAAAAACTTTGGGTATTGGTTTGAACGAAAACACCATGGTAGTCGTGAAGGGTCAGCACTTCAATGTGCTGGGTGATCGTGGTGATGATTCGGTCGTCCGGGTATATGATTGTTCTAAAGTTGACTATTTCGATGACTGTACCTTTGATAATGCACCGTACACAGAACTTCGACCCGGGGATTGGTATGATTTGTGCAGAAGAAAGCAGTTGTTTATACCTCCGAGCTCTAATTTTAATGATATGRACGAGGATGGTGGACTTGGATCAAGATTTGGGGCTTACGAACTCCCATATAGATACGCAAATGACTTCAAAGCAGGAAATCCACGACAATTTTTGTGTTCAGGGCGTCGCTGTAGATTCAAGTCTAATCCAATTRTCGTTGACAGCTCTCAAGGTWTTGTTCGGATCACTGGAAGAGTTTTTTCGGAAGGCTCCGAATTGAGCGACGGAGATCGACTGCAGATTCGTTACAGAATCAACGGTGACAGGTTCCAAAAACTTGTATTCGACACGAATTTTGAACCAGAAGGGCACAACCCCAAAACTGTTTTCGCTGCTATTCCGGTTCCATATGGTAGAAGTATCTTAAATCTCGAAATTGACGCTCAAACTGCCGCGGAAGGAGCTGCCCAGTTTCGAGTTGTGGATTTGGGTATCGAGTGAATCTTGTCAACTTTCAAGGTCACGTTCAATCATTAATTTTTCAATGCATTACCTTTACGAYAATGTAGAATACTTTGTTTCAAATCAGATACTTGTCACTTAAAATCAAGGGGTTATACTACCACTAGGGATTTTTCAAAGCGTATTATAAATGCCATMTTGGTCTCACGAAGCATTTCTTAGTATATTGCAGATGAGTCCCTTGAGAGTTTGGTAATTGGCGGCTTTGAATGGGCACATGAGCTCAAGATAGTGTGTAGAGTGGACAGATGCGACACTGTATCCTCTTCYTTTCGAGCCATGACATGAGTAAGCATTTTATATAAACGCAAAACAAGAGCTGGACTTTCTTCCTCGATTCTTGCCAAATCAGAGAAGCGAATATGATGCATTTTGATTTTTGTCACAGCCTTGAATATATTTAGTGGATGCTGTCCCGTCGCAAATTCGTGCGTCCCGATCACCCTATRTTTGGAAAAAAAGAATTGCAATGAAAGAGGGTCAGTGAAATTCGTACTTTGTCAGTTTGGCCGAGAATCATTTCCGTATTTTCTAGTTCGATCCGTACTTACCAACCCGGTCCAGCCGTTCCAATTCGCATGCTTTTCGATTGGCTGCTGTCATTTCCACGTGCYAATGCCTTCAGAGATGCTCGCTGTGCAGCGGTGTCTAGACGAGCGTGTTTGCTACTTAGACTGTTCTCATTACCGAAAAGACCAGAGGAATGACGTCGGGAAGAACCCCCCGTTCGTGTATTTGTCCTGCTGTAACTATCGTCTTCTATTCTAATCATTCCAGATTCGATGAAAAAGAGACCGTGATCTGATTCTCGAATGACCCCTCCATCTTTCTCAAACAAAATTTGGCCCTCCTCCAAATTAACTATATTTGTGTGGGGTTCTAATTCCAAAAGGCTATCAGCCAAGTTTGTGGCGTGGAGCTCGTCGATATGTCGAAGAGCAACGTGAAAGCCAGAAATCMCATTCTTCATCCAGGACAAAGATTGGTCTGGAGAGTTGTCCATTTTCGTATCTATCAAAACGTCTTCGGCTTTTCCTAAACCATGATCCAAGTCTGAAAAATACAGCAGCGTTCGAGTTTTTCTCGGACCTTTTTTTTCTGGTTTCATGCCACCTCTGGTAAATGTTTTTTTCAATCTGAGAGATAGTCCACACAAGTATAGTTTACAATCGTTGCTTTTGCACATCCTCCAGATTTCCATAAATACGTCTACCGTCGATGTGTCCATTCCGGTTATCAATGAGAGATCCAAGACCAAAACAAGCGGTGTGGGTGGAATTGGGAAGCCTATCCKTTCTGTTTCGGTCAGTGAAATCGCTTCGAACATGGTTTCGATGTAGCGGAGAAGAGAAGAAGCGTTTCCAAAAAACAAATAATTTTGCAACACAATTACTCGCAGATAGTCACCATTTGTGTCCAGCCAGATCGACTGGTCCAGTGACCGTTCGATCCGCGATCGAATCTCCGATCCGGATGCATCGTGTTTCACAACACCTACCCGAAAGAAGTCGGCCACGAACAAGAATGTCGACAATCCGATACCCAAAAACACGGCCGGCAAAAATCCAATGAGGAGTGAGAGCAGAGCCATGAATGGGACAACTGACCATTCCGTTAGGCTGGCCATTTTCGAAATCGGTTTGATGAACCAGGTGACGAAACTGTCGACAGCTCCCAACACCAACAGAGACGAGAATGCCGMCTTTGGAATAAACCGAACTATTTCAAAGCCCTCGACGTAAAACGCGACCAGCAAWAGCGCTACCGACAAATATTGCGGTGCCGGTCGACCCGCTCCTATTGCGTACATCGTGTTGCTGGTRGCGATCGTGGGACAGCAACCAAATCCACCACACACTGCTGCTACAAAGAGCCCGTAACCATACTGAACAAAWATGTATTCGAGCTTCATATCTGATGCAGGGGCATGGATTTCTACGTAGTCGGCATCTGCAATAGTTGTGTGTGCATTTCCTTCAGTTTTGTTGCTGTTGTTGGAGAGCTGGCTGCTGCCAGAGACAATCCTGCTGCTGCCAGCAATGCTCATTTTGTCGGGGGATRAAATGTCGGGCGGTAGACCAGATGGTATGGTTCGATGAGAAAGACCGGACACCTCTCGCTCGAGTGGTGCGAYTACCAAGTCGATGTTCTCGTCTTCGTCGGTTTCGTTGACGGTGGAGGGTTTTAGTGGGGTTCGAGGGATTGAATCGTAAGTTATTGGCGATGCATGGGATGCAGCATCCGACAGAGCGTTTTCTTTCTTCGCAACGTTGCGGGCCAGGGCAGTAGCATTGGACGCAAGAGACATGGTTCGTCCGCGACGGGAACTTGGATAGCATTTTCCTTTCAGGGATTTTCGATCGCACAGGCTCATGTTGACAATGAGAACCTCGTTTCGAACGGATTGTGCCAGCTGGCTGGCCCCGTCAAAGGCCATTTTCAGTCCCGAGGACGCCGTTCGTCTGTGCCGCGGGGAAGCGGCGGGAGCACCCTTAGGAAGCTCTGTGTACGTGTTTTTGGCGGCGGTCAAGGCGTTGCCCTCTTCCTGGTTTGCCTCGGGGTTTTCTACGGGAACCCGACGCACCAAGTAATGGACGTTCTTCTTCAGGGCCGCCGCGTGGATGGAAGAACGCAGCAAGTACAAAACAGCCAGTGCAACCATGTTCTCCGCGCCAAGGAAGACGGCCTTCCAGTACACCTCCAATCGGAAAATCGCAACCCAGGTGCCCATCGGACAGGGCGGCAACACCATGTCGATCCAAGAATCGCTGGCAACGATGCCCTCGTCGCTCGCTGCAGATGAAAGYGAGGAAGACTGGAGGTCTTCGTGGGAATAAAACCACCCAGCGCGCTGGGCATCTTCCAGAGAAACCCCCGTGAAGTGCATGGCCAGAAAGAAGACGAGGACGGTGAACAAGATCAGTCCCGTAACGAAGAACGGGTGCTTTGGCCCCAGTTGGTTCATGGCAATCCCCACGAAGACGCTCGGCAAGTGGTGGACCAAGACCAGCGTCCAGCCGGGATCGCCGTYYTCGTTGCCGCGAGAGGTCGGCGTGTCGATCGTGATGGCCAGCTTCCACATCAGGCAACCAACGGCGGAAAAAAATCCGCACAGGACTCCGTACGGCAGGTAGGTTCCGAGATTCGCGAGCTTGATCTTCGTGGCCAAGACCAACAGCGACCCCGACGCAAACATTCCAAAGGAAACCACCACGGCGAACGAGCCAAACCACAGTCGCGTCAGGGCCAGTTCTGCCTCGTCGTCGGGTCGCCCCCCGTCGATGCCGTTCCCGSCGCCGCCGCCAAAATCGGCCAGGTGCAGCGCCCCGGAATTCCAGTCCTCCCAGATGCACTTGTCCACGGCGGCGGCTGCCTGGGCCAGAAAGGGAGCCAGAAAGAGGTCCGCCGAGGGATACATGGCCGGAATGCCGACGCGGTTCTGCCTGGCGTTGTCGCTCATGTTGTAGACCAGAAACGGGCAGGAGGCGAGGATCCCCACGGCCGTGTATCGGACCATGTCTCCGAGCATGCTGATCCCGCTGTGGGGCCTCGTAATCGACCCCCCGTTCGCCATGCAAAAGACAACGTGGTACAGAACAAACATGAATCCCCCCATCCAGGTGGAGAGGGATGTCAGGGGAGCCAGCAACGACAGTGGTTKGCGGARAAAAGACGGATAGCATCTGCCACCGCYKCTGCCTCCGGTCTTGGTTCCCGAYGGTTTTCGCGCAGCGGCGATCGGAATCGCGGAATCGTCGGAAAGCACCGTGAGGCAGGAGGCATTGTGTTTCWGGTAGACATCGTGGAAATCCCTCGCCTTGCCGCTGGTTTCTTGCGTCGATTCTGGGACCTGCCACGGCTGCCGTTTGGCGGAAGGTGGYTTGGTTTTGGTTTGCAAAAAGAAATCCCGCCCGCCCCCACCGGACTCGTTTTTGAGGGTTTCGTCGGGGCGGACCCCGCTGCTCCCGTGATCTTCGGAGGGTGTAGCGTGGTTGATGGTTCGGATCGTATCAGCCAGGGCGTTGCCATTGCCATTGCCATTGCCATCTCCATTGCCATCTCCATAGCCATCGCCTTCCACGCCCGGGGAAACTCCACCAGCACCAGCACCAGCACCAGCACCAGCACCACCAGCACCACCGAGGAGGGAATCGGTTTCGGACGGTGGCACTGCCACGATCGGACCCGGGGGGGGAGCAAACAAGCCCACGAGGTCGCTGGCACCTGCACCGGTTGGAACGTGGGAAGGCCCGCGCCGGCGGTCGGTTTCGTCGCGGGCGTTGTCTTCCCCGGACGTGTCCATGGTTGCGATCCTTCCAGATGCGGCCCTGCCGTGTTGCAATGTGCGTTTGCAATCAATTGGTCTCTCTGCGCATCTAGGCTCCAATCCACCGTCCACGCCACGAAACCAATCCGAGGATCGAACTGCGAGGAAGAGGCGTGAGACGAAGGATGTCGTCACCCACGTGCAATCGGTCCTTTTCTGTTTGCCTTCCGAAGCGTCGGGTTACGCTGCCGTGGGGTACGGTACCGTACCGTACCGTACGGTCTGATGCGAGTCTTGCGTTGTCCGGGCTACCCGTACGCGAATGAAAAAGATCCACGGGCACGAAGAACCTAAGAAAGAAATGGTGGTACAATGGACCACTTTGTCTTCGCTTCGCACCGGTACCGGTACGAAAATCATCATTTTTTGAGATCGAAACTATGGTTACGACTCGTACTGCGTTGTACAGTAATTTCTACGGAGTCCGCATTCCCCGCTTCTTTCCTTTCGAGCTGTGTTATTAGCAGCCRGAGTCATTCTACCGGCACCAAATTACTACAGTACTTCTAGTAAATAATTCGCTTGTTTTATGTCACYTAGACGCATGCTTTGTAAGCCCAACACGCGCCACTGCTTGAACCAGTGTATTTGTATTGTACCACTCAACTACGAGTACATAATTACTAGTAACTAAGATGGCCTATTTTGAAATTGAATACAGTACTAACGAGGACTCCTAATGTCAAGCGCAATAAAGCCAAGTACTTGGCAATTCCCCGGGTGTCAATTTATTTTATTTTCCTGTCTTTATTTCTCCTCTCCCCCTCCTCCACGAAAAAAGTAGTCCTTAAATATTTCTATTCCTGGTACTTACTACTGAGAATATCAAATCAGTGCTTATCTCAACTATTAAGGACCACTAATAGAAATATTTTGGGACTAGCAAGAAATTAAACAATGGAAATATTTTTATTTTCGTCCATTGGATGCCTTTTTTTAACTGTAAAAATGAGCTAAAAATTTCTATTAGTATTTGTACGGGGATTGCCAAGTACTTGACTTTAGTGCGCTTGACATTAGGAGTTGTCGTACTAACCTATGAAGCGAGAAGAGACTGAACAGAAGATTCCGAAAAGCACGTACTGTATTCCCTCCAAGCCCGCTTGCCCGTATCGTAGTACGGTACCGTACGTAGTTTGAAAGAAGAATGCAATACAGTAGTGCAATCTTTTGCACTTCTAGTACGTACCGTAGGTGCGGTACGWATGTACTTTTCTGTGCCATAGTCCTCAGTTCGGCTTGAAACTTGCTTCACAAGAAACTTATCCGTAGAGAATTTTTGGAAACAAAGCTGTTTGCATTTTCAATCCACTGCAGTCTATTGGTGGGAGGAGTTCCTATTCAAGATCTTGCGAACAGGCAAATCCAATACTAGAGTAAAAGACATTCAACCATTGAAGCATTTGTCGCAATGAGATTGAACACAATGAGTATTCGTAGCATACATCTCAAAAAGGCATCTGATTGTGTAATCAGAATGCATTTGCGCTTGTCTACTGGATTTTGAATTGGCATCGATCTTGTTGGCGTGGCGATCGAGCTTTGGTTTGAATGGGTTTGTTTCGAAGAATTGGAATTCAAACCGTATCGGATAGCGGATTCCGACTGGGTTCTGTCGCGGACAATGCCAAGAATACAAAAACAAGCATTGCAGCTGCGCTGTGTGTTTGGCGTTCCCATCGTCACAATTGCCGCACCCGCCGCAGCGGCAGCAGCATCAGCCGTCGCCGTCTCCGTCTCCGGTGCTGTCGCTGTCGTCCTCCCCGCGGTCGGCCCTGCTGGTCGCCCCCCAGCAACGGAGCATTGCACAACCATCGCCGGAACCAGCAGCAGACCGMGGACAGCACGATTCCCAGARTTCCTGGACCCGCTCCCCGGCCACTACCAGTGGCTTTGGCAGCAGCTTCTGCTCRATGGCAGTCCGTCGGAGTTCCTTCTTTCGGCAGACGGTCCGTCGGAGAGCTTTCGTGAGCTCCTGCCTGGAATGACCGGCCTGCATCAGGATGGATGCCCGCTCGGAAGGATCCAACATTCGGACCGGCTGGGTTTGCATGTGCTTTTGTTTCCGTGATCGTGCRCCGGCCAACAAACGACCGTGGCTCTTCGATGATTTCGTTCGCCGTTCTTTGACGCCACAATCGAAATTTGATGTTGTTTTTCTTCTCCGAGCGAGTTTTCTGTTTCTATTTCTGTTTTTGGTGTCGTCTGATTTTGATTTTGATGCGGATGCGGATGCGGATGCGGAATTAGAAGTAGACCTGTTTTGTCCTACATCGCTCACCGTACTAGAATCTCCACTATAGCTACTTCCATCATCATCGTCGTCAAAATTGTCTCTGTCGTCGTCATCGTCGTCATCATCCCAATCGTCGCAGTCGCAGTCGCAGTCGCAGTCGCAGTCGCAGTCGCAGTTGATTTCATAATGAAAATCGAAATCATGGTCGTCTTCTTCGTCGTTTTCGCTTGCAAGAGTCTCCACAGGAACAACCTGCGTAGCTTCCTTCCAAAAGTGCCAACCGATAGTCACGGGGACGCCCCTAGTAACGGATGGATTATCCCCAATAGTGATCGGGTAATAGCGATATTCGGCCGTCGAAAACCGCACCGAATGGCGTATTTGGCTCGTTGGTTCGAAAGTGCTGATGTTGCTGCCRCTGTTCCCGGCACGGCCCTCGTCGTTGCCGTCATCGTTAGATGCACCGGCACCGGCACCGGCAGCGGTGGCAGTGTCAGAAGTAYTAGGAATCAGGGCGGGAGATTTTGGTGTGTTTCCTACAATAGCATCTCTCTGCCTGTTATAGATGTAATTAGAGTCTCCGTAGTCATCACCATCGTCGTCGACATCGTCATCGCCATCACTACTGGTATCGTTTTGGTGGTGTCCCCGCTCTGACAGCAATGGCAGCAATGGATAACCGTATTTGTTCGACAAGCTCATACTAACTGTCAGGGTGGACATGATAGCAAAAGGAATTATAATTTCTTGGGTATTTTCTTCCGTTTTTGGTTCCGCGGTGTCAAATCGTTTTCGTTTGTGAGTAGGAGTAAATGTGTATGTGCACGTGTATCGTTGAATTTACGTGATCGTGAGTCTCCGGATTCTGTCACTGCCTTCCTTTTGATTTCGACTCAACGGATTGTTGTTTCGAGCCTTTGGCTATGTAATTTTCGGTGGATGAATGTTTGGTCCGTTTTATTTTCTTCTGTAATGCGAAGCTGTCTTTTCGTCTCTTCGGCTGCTCCTGAAAAAATGATCTGGAAGGAACCTCTGCCGCTCCTTAGAATTTTACAGTTAGATCAACGACGACAACACAAATACTGTTGCACCGTGGTTTTGAAGGGTTSGTTTCGACTCATGCCATCGTACTGTACGATTCCGCAACAAATCATTATCATTATTTAGCATAATGATTTGCGTGCGATGTCATCAAGGTCGTACGGAACGAATGCTACCGTACGTGCGAGTACGTACTCGTGTGACATACAGAGAGTTCCATTTCAAAAGTGCTGTACGGTATCGTACGAAAAAGTTAACTAAAAGGATCTTCCTGCATTCGCTCTTTCATCGAATCATGTCATAAAAGTACGAGTACGAGTTGCTGATACAGCAGTACTCGTAAGATGGATCTTTTGGTTCTGTACCCCTTTTTCAAGAAAGAACGATCTAGAGTATTGTGACACGAAACAATACTGTACGTTACATTAACGAAGTGCCGTAGAGTACGAGTATTGTACATTTTAGGAGTACTGTATCCCTGCGAGTACTCGCAGGGGTCGTACTCGTACGTACGTACTCGTACTCTCACAACTTCGTTGGAGGGAGTTAGTTCTTGAAAATCCGTACTGTAAAGAAAAATGTGAGGATAACACTGGATCACGAATAGCTAGTGAATAACCTCACTCTTATTGTAAACCACGTAATCATGCAGCACTAGGAGTCTATCAACATTTCACAGGTTATGAGCAACAAACGGCTTACCTCGCTTCATACCCTCATCATCAAGACCGAGCCAACTATATGAGTTAGTCTGGTTTACTTCCTCTTCCTGCCTCCACGGAGCATTCACTCTTAACGGATCCTTCGCAGCGAGCGCAAGTTTTTTGGATCTTTCGACGAAAAATATCCAAAGTGTCAGTACTAAACCACATAGAAATATACGATACTGTCACAAATTCAGAACCCTCTAGTGACACCACACGCACTAATAAGCATCTAACATACCGCATTAGATACTCCTTCCGCTCATTTTATCACCAACAACACTAACAACAACACATACCACCACAGAACTAACAATGAAACAAACACCACGCAAATCGCGCAAGCCTTCCGGTGCCAGCAAAAAGCAAGCTCCCACACCGGCATCGACCGCAAACATGAAAGGCTTCCTTGTTCACTCCCCACGACGAGGAGCCTCCACGAGACAAACGAACCGTCTTCAACTCCTTTCCTATCACGGGAACATCCAACGAGAACTGCGAGCCTTGGAACTCACGTTCCCCTTGCAATCAACCTCTACCATCTACAATGGTTCCCTCTTCCCATTTAAACCAAGATCGACCATCTCGAATGCCAACTACCTCCAACACATCGAAAAGATACACACAACCACGATGAACGACACGAATAAGATGGTCATGTTAGGCGATGTGCTCCAAGATCTAATACATCCTAATCACTTTCATCAACCAAAACCATACAGCCCTAACACCACTCTCCGTTATCAATACAGCAGAGCCCTTATCGATCACATGGATACTCTCCTTCCCCCTCAACAGGACACACCTCCAGCGGCAATCCCCGCTCGACGTAGCAGTAAACGGCCACAACGCCTCCGCGAAGCCTTAGACTCACCACAACAGTCTCCATTAAGGGACGTGGACCCCAATGATAGTGCATCTGAGGACTCCATCCAGGCCCAACCTGAGGACCTCAGACAACGATTTGCTGAGGAATATCTTAGAGCCTCCACGAATCCTGACCAATCACCAACTACTCCCACTGGAAATAAGATTCCTACAAACACGGATGTAGAACCCTCAAACAGCAACATCACCAAGGAAGATCATCTTCACGATTCCTCCTCCCACCACAGTCCTCACTCGGACGCCAAAACTTCCACTGTAACTGATCATATCAGAGACCTCGATAGCGGCTTCCATCACATTGATAAGGAGATCCAGGATATCAAGGATAGCTTCTCATCCTCTGGAGAGGACGATGCTCCCATCCCACACACAATCACCACGGAGACCCGTGCTTTCGTTGACTGGGCCATTAGAGACAACGAATCAACTTGGATCACACGCTTTCAGGATAACAATACTCGTTGGACCACACAGATTCAACACATCACGGATACTATTACGACCATGAAAAAGGACTATGAATCCTCCATCCAAACCAGGGACGCTAGTGTTCAGCGCCTCCAGGCAGACCTTGCTGCTGCTCGTGACACAGTCGTTCACCTTCAACAACAGTTGGCACACCGTGATGCTCACATCGCACGCCAGAGTACCATGCTGGATAACGCCTTACAACAGAACCACTCCATGGCTAAAGATCTCTCTACGGCCACTTCCACTTCATGGGCTTTAGATCAACGTATTGTTAAAGCCTCAACGGTCCTCTCGTCACTCAAAAGTGACAGTGCTAAAGCGTCCACTGTACTCTCCTCGCTTCGAAATGAATCCATCAATCTCACCGCGATTCGCGATGAAGCCAGCAGTATCACGACTAAAACACCCTCCCAGTATGCGGATGCCGTTACCAACAAAGTACAGGACATCCTAGACCATGCCACAACGGCTCTAACGGACATGTGTGCTACTATCGAGGACCGTGCCTCAACTGCCACTCAGGCTCAACTCAAATATCTTGAATCCCATCTCCAGGATACTATCGACTCTAAGCTTAGGGACATCAGCAGTAACAAGGACCCCATCATTCAAAGTGTTAAAGACACTGTGTTAGCAACAGCAACGCAAGAAATCAACACACAGATCACTACTACAACGAATCACTTCAAAAGCGAACTCCTCCACACCAAGAACAATATCAAACAGACTGCTCTTACATATATTGCACAACTTCACGAGGAGAAACAGATCCTTCAGCATGAAGCCGACAATGCAAAAGATGCCATTGCCATTGCTCAATCGACAGCTCAATCCAATATTGAACAGTCCATCACTGATCACCTCAACACCAACGAGGTTGGCAATACCATTAAAAGCTTGATCAATACTTCCCTAAACACTGTGGTTACATCCGACACCTTCAACACTACTGTTGATAACATCATCAACCAATACGTGACACACTCAGAGAAGCTGAGAGACCTCCTTGTCGCACATGTACAACGGGCAATTGACCGTGAACTCCCGTCCTCCAATCCCACTGCTCAATTTGCCTCTCACTCTAAAGAAGATCCTGTCAAGGGCTTTAACGACTCGCCGGTCCCAGAGAAATCCGACGATTCACCGGTCCCACCAACACCAAAGCATCGATTTGCCCACTGTGTTCCCAATGTACAAGCCTACTCGAACCGCCAGCAGTCTCGCTTGGATAATAAGGATAGGGATGCTACACATGAACGTAACCACCGCATTAGCACAGCAATCCATGCCATGGAATACAAACACATCAACACCAATCTTATCCCTAGTGATAATCGATACCTCACCCCAACAGAGTTCACAGCCCTATACAATGACCTCTACAGCATCATGACACTTGAAAGCCTACCACTGGTTCACTTGGATCAGCTCCATGTATACCACAGCTGTCTTCCCCCAGATCATAATGAGACTGAGGAAAACATAACCAAGATCGCAACTCATCTTTATCAGCGCCTCTCCAACATGCTGGAGCGTCATCACACTAAAATTAGGGGCCTGATGGCTCTATATCACCATAAAATGGAGGGCTATGATGCACTCTATGCCCTGGCACGGTCGTCCCTCACATACCTTCGACCCACAGAGACCGGTTGGGGTCCTGATTGGTCTTCCGACGACGACCCTGGCACCTATGCGGGCAAATTACTGGAATTTGTTCGCACCAGTCACCTCACTCACCGACGGAAATACTCGGAACTGGATCAAAGCTTTGAATATGCTAGCCGTATCATGCGTCACTTTAACTTTGCCGCCGGCAACGGCCAACTCATTGAACTCAACGCACATAAACGAGCCACACCAAATGCGGACAACTGCCCCCTTCCAAAACATCTTTCCCTCACTGCCATGATAACTACTGTCCTTGATTATCCGGAAAGTATTAACCCCCAGCAATCGTCACCGACTGCACCAGTTATTCACCGTATGGAAACCCAGCAGCGAAAGCGCTTTGAGTACCGCAACAAGGTCCAATGTGACTGCTGTCATACCTTTGGCCATAATGTAGGTGACCAAATATGTCGTTTTGGTGCGCAACTTCACCATGCACAACAGTATGCTAAGCGTCAACCCACTGAGTTCACTAACAATGCTACCAAACACTCCCGCATGAATATGACGAACGTTGTCAATCTGTTCGAAAAACAGCTTCATGATCGCTTAATTACAGAGGCTGAKCACGAACGAGAACGTGAGGCATGGGCATCCGCCTTTGGAATACCAACCCCAACACCTATTCCTTCGGATAGTACTGAGGAACAGGAATAGGTTATACGCCGTGTCTCTAGCGGGGCTCGGCCATTGTCTCCTCCTCCTAAACACCGCGGATTTTGGCCTCCAGCTCGGGAACATCATCCAGACTTACTCATGTTCGCACTTCCCCCCCGCTCCAAGTCTCCGCCATTGCCTACGATACATGAATCCCCTGGGGAATCCGCTATTTCCCCTCCACCATTGCCTGTATTAGTATCCAAAACGACTGATACTGCAAATAATGATACGATTAGTGACGATATTACGACTCCCCCTCCAGTGGAACCCGGTACCATTCCTACGCCGCACTCGAATGACAGCAATCCTGGGTACATGAAAACCGGACCTCCCGTGGACTCCAGTACTAGATGTACTATGACCACG